TATGAACAATAATTTAGGGCACAAAAATCTAGGTAACCAATTGGGCCAAGAAGTTGGGCTGTGAGGGTTTTCCTAATTGGGCCTAAGTGGGTTGGACCAAGAAAAATCGAAATTGGGCTAACAAAATGTTGGACCCTAAATAATAAAACATTACACTTATAATTATTAAATTTGGATTTTTAAAAAAATAATAAGAAATTCGATACGTTAAAGTATTCGGGATTGAATTTGATTTGAATGGATTTAAAATGGTTTTACAACAGTTAGACGAACACGCTTTCAATTTAAAATTTGGGGTTAAAACTTAGCAACACGCTTTTCAATAAAATAATTTTATATTATTTAAAATTTCTCGGTCGCTATACTCTCTCTCTCTCTATCTCCTCTCTTCCTCTTTCTTTCTCTATCTCGTTCTTGTTCAATCATGTTCGATATCTATTTAGTATCAGAACAAGTCGATTGCTTTGGTCAAAAAAATTCGTGAAATTTTGATAGGTGTTCCAAGTTCAAAAATTTAATGTCACCATCCTCGAAACAAATCCACGCCAACATTCATTAACATAATACCTGGAAATGGCCTCTACCAACCTCCACATCCATAACCACCCTCAACTAACCGTTTTTCCCTTTGCAATACAAAAAATTTCCACAATAGACCAAATTCAAACACAAGAAAAGTACAAGGGCAACAGCAATCAACAAGAAAAAAATATGAAAAAATGAAACAAAGATTGTTCATCAGAATTTTTCTTTTTTCTCTTCTTTGCTATCGTTAGGACTCCATCGGTTAAATTGAATTTTGGATTAGATTAAGCCCTCGTTTGGCACCCATTTTTTTCTCATTCTCATTTTTTTTCTCTTTCTTCATTTCAACCATACATTCTATCAATAAAATAATATTACACATAAATCTAAAAATTCTTCTTACTTTTTAGGACCATGCTACACTACCCAAGTTGGGTTACAAAAGGGAGGTGCCCAAGTGATTTTGCACCTCCACTTTTGTCATGCTACTTGGGTAAAGTAGCATAATCCTACTTTTTAACCACACATTTTTCTATCAATCACTATTCAAAAACACATTTTTCAATTAAAATGGGTGTCAAAAATGGTCCTGCGCGGAGACGTTCTCAGCTGATGCCTCAGCGTGCGGAGTTTTAGGTTTTTATTTATTTATTTTTTCCTTCACTTCTTATTTTTTTTAACTAAAAATTCTACTGATTTACATTCTACAAAAACTATAAAAATAATTTCACTTATTAATAATTTAATTCAAAAGTATAAGAAAATATTCAATTTTATACATACATGAAAATAAAAAATCCTTTCGGGAGCATTGCCCCGAACCTCCACGAGGGGCGCTGCCCCCTCAACTCCCGCGACCTGACCAGGCACATCGATCCCGTCAGATCGTTGCCCCAAACCCACGGGGGACGTTGCCCCGTCAACTCTCACAACTTAAATGGTCGGGCACTATGTTTAATGCTCTGTGTGCGAAGTTGATACTCCGAACACCGTGCGGAGCATTACGACTTTTTTAATACTGTGCAAACAATAATACAAAAATTTCTATAAAACAGTGACTTAAAAAAAAAAAAAGGCAAAATAAGGTAGCTACACTAATTACTGTTCCCAGGAACAGTGACTTTTTATTAGCGTGGAAATGGGAAAAAAAAAGGCGAAATGGATCACTGTTCCTAGGAAAAAAAAGAAAATGGTTTGTGCACAAAAGTAGAAAAAAAAAACAAAAAAGACAAAAAAGGGACTACACTAATCACTGTTCCCAATCACTGTTCGTAGGAAAAAAGGAAAATGGTTCACACTAATCACTGTACACAAAAGTAGGGGAAAAACAAAAAAAACAAAAAAGGTACTACACTAATCACTGTTCCAGCTTTTCATTCATCTTTTTATTATAGGTAAGATTA